AATTTGTATTTTTCGTCGTTGGAATGTAACAAAATATTGTTTTTTAATTATATTAAAAATTTCACTTTTTCGTGCTTGAAGTTTATATTGGACTGAACTATAAAAGCACTTTTTGTGCAAAACATACACAATAAAAGAAAAAAAGTTAAGAAAAAAACAGTTTTGTCATAATACGCATTCGTCGAGTTTTATTGGCACTGAATTCAAATTCGATCAATTTATTTATTAGCCTTTGTGTTGTTTTTCATTTGCATGCGACTCTTCTTTCCAGTTCATTTCAATGTTTAAGTTCATTGTAAAATTACGTCTTACACACGTTATATGTGCGTGTATTAATTGTACGTGCACTAATATACGTGGAGAACTTTAATATACTTTCGTTAGCATCATTACGTGCCAACTAATTGGTAATAAAAATATCGTCAAAGATAATACGTTCGTTTGACTTTGTATTTTGGAGTGAAAATACTAATAAGGAGGCTTAGCCGAGAATTCTCGCAATATCTTAGCGGATCGTTGCTCGATACGAAGCAGCCAATTGGCGTGAATTTTAAGGGCTAGCGAGATAGAGCGAGGACTAGTACCCAGGGAGCTGCATTATCTCCCTCTCTGTTTACCATCGCTCATCTGAAAGAGAGACACTTTCTTGCTAGCTAAGTTGTGCGTGTCGTGCGCAAGATCGTGAGAGCGAACTGTTCTCTCTTTGCCAGTTGAAACGACTTTCGTGCGTTCCAGTACCGAATGTACAGTCATGCCACGGCTAGAGTTCTTGCCGCTCTCCTTTCTCGATCTTTCTCCTCTCTCTCTCTCTCTCTCTCTCTCTCTCTCTCTCTTTCTCGCTCACTCCCTCTCCCTCTCCCTCGCTCACTCACTCACTCACTCACTCATTCACTCACTCACTCACTCACTCCTTCATTCTTTTTCCCTTGTTCGACCAGTGTTGACTTTGATTTAGGACATCCTTCTCACCGATGGCGCGTCCACTGAACTTGCGCACGACAAAAACTGAATTTTTCTTTGAACCGAAATGATTTCAGTTACATTGTGAAATTTGCTTTTGAATTCTTTTATAGCGCTTGACCGCGAAATTATTACAAAAATAAAGTGGATTGGCGCGTGGAACTATAATTTATTGATATTATAAATAGACTTTTAATGTGACAAATTTCAGATAAATTGTGGGATATTAGGAAAGTATTAATTTTGATTACCTTTACGGCATTTATTGCGAAGCAACAAGTGACTTACTAAGGACGTTTAATGAGAAAATTATGCAGCTTGAAAAATAATAGAAAAACTAATGACAATAAATTAATAATAATAAAATTAATCGAGATTTCTATTAAAGAATAATAAAAATAAAATAATAATAATGATAATAAATGAAAAGTTACACGAATGAATACATCTTCATGTATTTTTTTTTAATTCTTAGATTATCTACAAACAGCATTAATTAAAAAATTATTGATGTACTTTGTCGTAATTTCATTATGCATGCGTCGTTTATTGACGATTATCAATTAAATTAATTCTTGTTTGAAAATAGACTACCAAAGTTACGATTTTATCAATAACACGGCATGATTATATTAATAAGCTCTCCTGGTAAGCAATTATATATTGAAACGTATTAAGTAATGCATGATTATTCGACTTAATTTGTTAATTCAGATAACCGTGGATGATGATTTATGGTATAAATCTTATAATCTCAAATAGATTTAAATATATTTTTAATTAATTATAATGATATGGTCTTTTATTTTGATGAATACAGTTTAAAAAAAAAAAAAAAAAAAAAAAAAAAAAAAAAAACCTGTAATTAGATCAAATGTTTTTGTAAATCTTTACGTGATCTCATATTATAGTCATAACCAGTCATTTTATATAATAAAATGAACATAAAGTAAGAAAAATTGTATATAATCTTATAATAAATGTGGACATATTTTTATTTAAGTATCATTTTTTATACACAATAAAAAAAAATGTAAATTGATAGTAGCGGTTCACTTAACTTACGCGACTTTATACTCTATATACATAGATACATTATATAGAGATATATACATTAGATTCCTTATGGAATTAATTAAAAACAAAAAAACAAAAAAAGAAGAAAAAAAAGTAGCCGAAGTCAATCATCAGTAAAATTATATTAAAAATTATAATTAAAATTTCCATTATCCTTATTTATGGAAAAATCTATACAAACAATATCGATAACATGTACGCATACTTTCACTTTCCTATTTCTATTAATCTAATTGATTGTCGCTAATAGAGAAAAATTTTTTAACAAATAAGAAAAATGACTTAGATTATTATTGTATTACATTTGATTTTGTACCATTGATTCCTGTTACTTTTTGCTTTACGTTATTAATAAGCCAATAAATATTTTCTAGCCATTTTCGTCAAAGATTAATAAAGTCTTTTCAGATTATATTCTAGAATACTTCTTCATCTATTAAAATTATTTTACATATAATTGAAAAAATGTCTAAATTCTAAAGCATAAACTGTTAGCGATAAAAATTGCTTGTTAAAATTCTTACAGTTCCTTCATTATGTTAGGTATAAAAAAAAACTTTCATTATTAATTATCTTTTGAATTTGAATTTGATTATTACTCTACCGTATAAATCATATAATCATTCATATTTAAACATTGATACAAAGATTGATAATAAAATTGACAAAGAGCATATTTTTACTGAATACGATTAATATATTTGATTAAGTTTGATCTAGATTTTAAATTGAAAACCGATTGATCTTTTTTAATTCGTTCCAGCTATAATCTATATATGCATATTCAAATATTTTCGTATCTTCTTTTTCATTAAATTATAAAGATATTTATGATATATATTTTGTCTTTTAAAATCTCTCCCCCCCCCCCGACAAGTTTAGAGTTTTTTACCCTGTTGTAAATTTACCTAATAACTGTTACGTCTCCTTTTAATTTTAAAGAATTATACGTCCTTAAAGAGTATATAATTAAGTTAACGGTATTTTTATGCTTGAAAAAGTAATTTTATTAAAAGAAATTTTCAAAAAGACGCGTTTTGTTGCCGGTGTATTTTAAATGTAATAATTGCTTATTTAAAGATAAGTTAAACTGCCGCTTTTTATAATTTATCTTTTGTAGCATATTGGTGGTAGTAAAGTGCGCCATGAGAAAAATGCGCCTCAAGCCGTTGCATACACATATTCCAATATGTATTACTACGAAGAAACCAAAGAGCTAAAACATCTGCTATATAATGAGAAATATAGTCAATAATTAATATTGACAATTTTGTAATACATATTTAGAGGAAGAAATAGTTGTTTTACAATATTATATGTTGTATATGTAACAAATAATTTATATACAAAATGATTTACTTCCAAATTTAATGAGAGATATTAATTTATTTATAGGTACGAGTTGAACAATCCGAAACTTATCCTAAGAAATGCTTAAAATATTCTTTATTTTTGAACATTTTTATCATAATGATATTTTAAACAGGTTCACTAGGAATTAGTGAACATAAAGTCATTCAAAGTGTGTTAGATTACGTTTAATAATGTTTCAGATAGGAACCCTTGGATTTTAATTAAGAACTCTTAATGACATTTTCCAGAATTATTTAGAGCGTTCAAAATACAAATGGCAAATTTCATTATGATTTATTACATATAATTTGCGTGATAGTTGATTCCATATAGCTTTTCAATTTTACCGTTTTATCAGTAAACAATGATTTAAAATATTATTTTCATTTGTAAGCTAGAAGCTGCCTTGCAATTTTTCACGAAATGACAATTGTGCTATAATGAGATTATTAAATTAGGCCATTTAACGATATGGACGCGGCAAAATCTTTTTTTTTTTTTTTTTTTTTTTTTTTGTTGTAATTTTTCATTGTCAAGAATTCCCTTTCATAATAAATTATGTTAATTATCATTCATAGATTATCTAATAAAAAATGAGCAAATTCGAGATTATCTAATAAAGATGAAAGACAAGAGAAAGTAAGTGGAGATCCAAATTAAATTTTGGACTTTTTCATATTTATAGTGTAATTTGTGCATTTTCACAACCATTTTAATTATGTTTCTGCGTTACTTAACATTCAGAAACACAAAGTATTCTTTTGTAATAGATTTAATTGCATTATCCGATTCATTTAAACCGAATTAAGTCGCTTTTCTTTGTATTATGCTCAAAGAACGAGACGTATTATCATCAATACACTAGCTTTACGTTGACTCGTATATTTTTTCTGCGTAGTTCGGAATGATAAAGAAAATGCTTTTTGAGCTCGTTCGTTCACTCAATAAATTTGTCTATATTTTCTAACCTCGTACATCTATGTTACTTCTATGTGAGCATGATTGAACAAACATTTTCTGCCTCGTGAATCTCGAAATAATCATAGGCATCGATCGTCAAATCGGCCGTTAACAGCTGAACAAAGGAGAAGCCGATTGCGAAGTGAGAAAGAGAGAGAGAGAGAGAGAGAGAGAGAGAGAGACAGAGAATTGAGCGGCTCTAAACTTGGCTAACCTCTTTGCGCATTACGTTTGGGAACATCTAGTGACTGAATAGTTGTTGCACGAGGGGACGTTTTCTCTCCTCGTTCGGGCGCATCGCATCGATTTAAGGGGCGCAAAGCTAATATCGGAAATTTACACATATACACGCGTCATTTAGGAGCGAGGAGGCGTCGCGTAGTAGCTCCCGGTGTCGTTGACTCGCGATCTCCGTTTCGGAAGAATTTAAAAATTTTCAGCACGTAAATGGTCGCGTTCCGAAAACAGCCGGATCGTGATGCGTCTCGCTCTCTCGCTCTTTCTCTCTCTCTCTCTCTCTCTCTCTCTCTCATTCCCTTTTTATTTTTTTTTCCCTTAACTCTGACTGTCCTATGCCCCTCTCCCTCTACAGTTGAGCCACAAAGCTAATCTGAATACTAAGTTGGTCATTCTGCTTTGCCATTATCTAGGTAGAGGAAGTGCGACCTATGGTGCAAGAAGAAAAGACAAAAGACAGTCCAATAGCCGGAGTGAAGGACAGTGCAGATGCCAAAATAAATGATATCCGGATAATCGATTGGGCTGTTGACGAAGAGGTCGGAACGTACCGGAGAATCACAGATAAGGGAAAAATAAAGTAAAGCGAGAGTATACTGGAGCTGGAGATATTGAAACGCGGGAATACGCCGAGACTGTTTGGTAGGTCTTCTCCTCTAGCGTTATCGAGTGACGAAAGCTGTCGGTTTGTGTGGTGCTGGTGCTGGTGCGTGCGAAAAAAATATCTAATCGTAATAAGGGATGGTTTTTCAAGGCAAACGAGCTACTGAGAGTGAGTGAGAGTGATACATTGAAGCTGAGGCGGACCTAGGAGGAATCGGACAGGCGCAATCCCGTCCAGGTAAGCTTCGACACATTATCATTGAATGATCCTATCATTTTTAATTGTCGAGCCTTCGTCAGATGATGTCCTTGGCAAGTAAATGCATAATTTTAGTTTAACTAAACTTAATGCGCTCTATACGGTGCAAAGTACAATGCACTCCTTCCCGCCCCCACTATATATTACGTCGTTGGCAGTCGAAATAAGTTAATGTAAACATTGAGGAGAGCGTAATTTAAGGCGCGAGGGCCAAAGTGTAGAAAGAGCGACGACATTCCACAGCAATTCTCCGATTAAATAAAAATTAGCTGATGAAACTCGATCACGGAATGTCGAAAATTCGGATCGTCAATACGTTTCCGGCGCTCATCCGTCAGTCTGAGAGATAATGCATTAGTTAGGAGAATGCGTCATCGATTCCTCGATTGCTCCTTTTACAAGCACAATCAAGGGACCGTGGAGGGAAAAGCGAGTCCGGTCAGATCGGCTCGTTCGGCCATTTCTCGGCGTAAAAAAGGAACGACAGAAGGAAAGAGCGTTCGATCAAGTGCCCCTCTCCCCCTGACCCCTGCACTAGCACCAGCACCATCGCTCTTGCTATACTCTCTCTCTCTCTCTCTCTCTCTCTCTCTCTCTCTACCCCCTCCTCCCCTCCCCCTTGTGTCCCCCTTCCACAGCCCTTGGCCCTCCGCCCTCTTCCTCGCAATATGTGCGGCTCGGCGCGATTGGACTGCGCGGGGAGAATTCTCTGCTCTGGTCCGCCGTCGTGACTGGCGGGGAGAGGGAGGCGCTCTTACCGTCGCATTTCAGAGAGAACTTTAGCGCTGGCGGGTGGGCTGCTGCGAGTGCGAGCCGTTTTCTCTCTCTCTCTCTCTCTCTCTCTCTCTCTCTCTCTCTCTGCCTCTGCGCCGCTCTGTATCCTTGTCTCTGTCTCTCCGCAGCCCGATGGCTTCTCCTGCTTCGCTCGCTCGTTCGTTCAATACTCGGACAAGAGCAACGCAGAAGACTGAGGGAGAGAGAGATAGATAGATAGAGATAGATAGATATATAGATCGAGAGAGAGAGAGAGAGAGAGAGAGAGAGATATAGCCGCGCCACGCTACGCTCCACTCGGATCCTTCTTTCTCCGCGTTCAGTGGAAAAAGAACGCGCCAAGCGGAGATCCTCCGGTTCCGCGCGTATCAGACTTCGTTACGCTTATCTTGCGGGGGTGCAGGCGAATCCGTGCTCGCGCAATCTATTGTCAACGTAATCACATGCCTCGGTCCGAGTGCTTTAACAATAACATCATTGCCATACCTGTAATTCAATATATTGTTGCACGACGCTACTCGGCATGCACGTGTTTTTCAATTTAATAAATTAACCACGCGCTATTTACACACACCGCACATACCACGTAGCATTTCTTACGGGAAGCACTAATTTCGGAATAATAGAGGCGAGCGCGCCTTTATAAACGGGCATATATCGGCGATCCTTTGCTCGCCTGTGCTCTCGGAGATGCCTGACCCGTCGAGCGGCGACATTCAAGATTTTGCAGCAAACAAAAAGTGGCACAGAAACGTGAGTTGATAAAGAGGGGAGAGACAGAGGCATAGAGAGAGAGAGAGAGAGAGAGGGGGGGGGCGGAAGGAGGTAGAGGACGGTGCGATGGTGGACGAGGAGAGGGTGGTGCTGTTGGCGGCGATGGCGGGGAGGAGGAGGAGGAGGAGGAGTAGGAGTAGGGGGGGGATCTAGTTTAGTTTGGTCTTTTTGCTTGGTATGGCGCACGTACGTACGTACGTGGCAATTTGGACTGAGTAACGGTTGAATTTTCAAGCCACTCGCGCTGAGGCCCATCAATAGTCCATCGGCAAAAAGAAAACGGATCGTCTGGAAAACGTGGCGGCGGCCGAAGAATGTGGTGTCGTCGCGAGGCGGGAAGAAAGTGGAAGCGCCGCGCAAAGGCGTAGGAGTGAGCTAAGCAGGCAAATTGCCGTCACTCGGCCGTGTATCCAGACTGAGGCCGACAGCCGTCGCTCTTACAACCTGGGCAGTTGTTGGGACTATAGGGAGACCTGCATCAGCCCGCGGCTTGGAATGCGCCGCTCGGTTTGGCTCCCGCAAAATCGTTTCGCACGCCGAACTCGCGCCCATCGCTATGCTCGCCGCGCTCCTTTTCCATCGCTGGCCCAACTTCAAACTGCGAGGGAAACTCCGATAAACATTCATCGAATAGTTCATCTATATTTGCTCGGCTCGCTGGTCGGTTTCGCTTAATACAGAGCGGCATGTTTATGCGAGAGCTGTCATTTATTATTATTATTATTATTATTATTATTATTATTAATATTATTATTATTATTTTTTTTTTTGTACTCTTACTGTGTATCGTCTTATCTCGGCCAAAAATAATAAGGACCGACGTTGGCTCCGTACGATGAGCTTTATTGATGCGCGTGAATTTTGATCGCACGCGATTATATGGCATAGCATCCTATAAAGAATGCATAGAGATGCTTGAATGGGGGAGGGGCGGAGGGCATATTTTTAAAGCGTGTATTTCGTAGCCGACGCGCTCATTTGCTCGTTGAAAAATAAAAATAATCATCCGACTCGAGGTATCGTACGTTCTCGCATATTTCAATGAATTTTGTTGCTTTTAATAGTTGAATTTTCAGTGATAAATAGTAATAAATGTTGGATGCGGTCGTTCGATTATTAACATTGCTAATAAACGTTATAACGAGAAAAATGAGATTACTCGTGAATCGATTGTGTGTCCGTTCGGGAATTCCTCTGTAAAAATAAGTATGCCGTCACGCTTTGTCGTGTTTTTTGTTTTATGAAATTGCCTTGATCGAGCAAGACGCATTCGATATAACTTTGTAGGTAAATACGTTGCGATTGATTAAATTAGCTTATTAATAATGTATGTTTACGACACGACACGCATTATCGATCGGATATTCGTCGAAAGTAAAGCAATTAAGGCTTAATACTATTTAATGAGAATATAATACGCGGTTAATTCAAATATCATTGTAGGCCTAATCGCGCACCAGGACGCGAGTAGAAAGACGAAAGAAAAGTTGTACAGAGTTATTGAAAAAAGTTTTAAAAATAAATAAATAAATAAATAAATAAAGTATTTCTAAAGACAAAAGAAAAGAAAAGCAAACAAAGAAACTAATTGCCGCTCAAGTATGGTCAAACTTCGATTGGGCCCGCACATTGTGGAATATTAAAAACAAAAAGAGAGAGAGAGAGAGAGAGAGAGAGAGAGAGAGAGATTGAAGCATCGCTGTGAATGCGGCGTGATTTATAAAAACACCCATAGCGAGATGACACCCGGTTGGTGATAAGAATGCCTGAAGCCGCTGCTCCGTATATACCTCGTATCGCGAGAACTAGTCGCTCGGACGGCAACGAAGCGGAGCGGCTGAGGAAATTTTATCGGGAGGTCGTAAAGCATTGTATGAAATAAAAATGCGGCGATTCGTGATAGAGGAGACGCTTAGTGAAGAGAAAGGTGATTTATTTCTGCCTCGATAATTGGAAAACGGAAAAAAGTAAAAGGAAAATGAGCGCCAAGGTGGTGTCGACCGCGATCGCGGCCACTCGCAGAGAGACATCGGGCAGGGACAACTTAAATAATAATGTGTCAGCGGCCTCGAATAGCCGGCACGAGCCATCGGCGTAGCTCCCTCGAGCTTTTGTCCTCCGCTCGATCGAGCAGCCCCGACGCCCAAATCGATTGGCCCAATGCACATACGCAAATGCGTGCGAACATAATGGGCCGCACTCGCTCGCGCGATACGTATCTACGCAACGGCTACAGCTGTATAAGCCTCCGCGCGACCCCCCCTCCCCCTCCTTACCCTATTCATATCCCCCACCACCACCCCCTTTCGAGGCCATCGACGCCAGACGACTACGAGCTCCCGCACATTTTACCAACGAGGGCTGGATATTAGTATATTGATGCTCGACGGTAGGGTCTATATGTGTTGTTACGCAGCCTCTTTTCTCACGTGTATTTATTGTGGCAGTCAATGCGTTTTGCCATTGCTACTGTCAATAGTCTAATGATACTTTAATAATTTGGTCGTTCCCTCAACGGATAGCTACGTATTAGATTCTGCTGATGGTTAAAATTTATTTTAATCGTTGATGCTCATTGATGTGTTATAGACGATGTAGCCTCCATTACTACGGCATTTGATCTCATAAATATAGAGCGGCATTTAATAAGACTGTGCTTCTTTGAAGAGAGTGAAATTAATCGACACGCTTTAGAGAAGTCGATCGCTCTCTTTCATCCGCTACACAGCCTCGTCTACACAACGAGATAGAGTCCCCTCCCCCACTCCATTACTCACTCACTCACTCGCTCACTCACTCACTCTCTCACTCACTCACTCACTCACTCACTCACTCACTCACTCCACTAAAAATTGTGACTTTATGATTTCGCCGTAACGTTCGAGTCACAAGTTGACACTGTATGTAAATGGAGAGGCCACCGTTGTGCGCTTGTTCCGAGTAATTTTGAAAATAATTAACGAATCGTCGACTAAATCGTCGAATGTCACCAACTAACGGCAACAACGTCGCGCACTAGGCATACGCTTAGTCAACGGGCGAGCGTCATTCCTTTATGGATGAGAACCACAACAGCGTTTGTATTCTCTGTCATGGGATGATCCTTTTCTTTCTTGCTTTTTTTTCCTGAATAATTGTGTGGTCCAACGAGGTAAGAGAGAGAGAGAGAGAGAGAGAGAGAGAGAGAGAGATGTACTCCTGATACATCTCGTCGCTCTTGACCGCGTCTACCTGCTATCCAGCGCGACTTATTATCCCTACTCTCCGCTCCTTATACTCCCTACATTTGCAGGCAGACTGCTGTCCGATAACTACTAGACCCGTATGTCGTTATCAAGCTTATTGGGATGTACTTGAGAAAGTATTATGTTACATTAGTCGAGGCACGAGGCGTGAAACTTTAAATTTAAAAAAAAAATAAAATTAAATTA